GGCGCCGGTCCCCGGCGCACGGCGCTTTCAGGGAGGGGGCCTGGCCCCGGGAGCATGGCGCTTGCGGGGGGCCCCCGAGCACGCGGCTATGGGGGGGGGGCGCCCTGGGCGCACAACTGTCCCTGCCCCCTGGTGCCCGGCAGGCAAACAGCCACGCCCCCTGGTGCCCGGCAGCCTCTAATGGTTGGGGACCATTGGTGTATATCTTCTCTAGTAATACATAGCCTGACTTCAATGGGCTGCTTTTCATATACACACAGACTAATATAGTATCATAATTCATATGTGAGACTAAAGGGGGATATGATAGAGGTTTATAAAATCATGATTGGTGTGGAAAAAGTGAATAAAGAAAAGCTATGTACTTATTCCCACAATATAAGAACTGAGGGTCACCAAATGAAATTAATAGGAACCAGGTTTAAAAAGGATTATTCTGGGAGGGGTGGGTGAGATTCTGTGGCCTGCACTGTGCAGGGGGTCAGACTAGATGATCATAATGGTCCCTTCTGACCTTAAAGTCTATGAGTCTAAAACAGAAGAGTTTTTCTTCACACAGAGCACAGTCAACCTGTGGAACTCCTTGCCAGAGGATGTGGTGAAGGCTAGGACTTTAACAGGGTTAAAAAAAAGCTAGATAGATTCACGGAGGTTAGGTCCATCAATGGCTATGAGCTAGGATGGGTAGGGATGGTGTCCCTAGCCTCTGTTTTTCTGGAGGTAGGTGATAGGGATATGGATCAGGTGAGGTTTACCTGTTATGTTTCCTCCCTCTGGGGGATCTGGTATTGGCTACTGTCGGCAGATAGGATACTGGGCTGGATGGACCATTGGTCTGATCCAGCATGGCTGTTCTTATGTTCCTATATCTTCAATATATCGTGTGTTCATATTACAACAAGGTTTTTTTAAATATTTGAATGATACAAAAAGTAGGATTACATTTAGAAGGAAAAAAAAGCTTTTGTAAACACAGGACTTTTTGGTAAAAAGTTTTATATTGAAAGGGCTTACTTGTAGGTAGCAGTCCTACCCTCGTGTGCAGGTATGGGACAGATGTGACTTGATAGTATTCCTATAGCACCTCTCATCAAAATTAACTCACTTTTGAAGGGCTTTATTTTTTCCATTGGCAGAATTGACTTGCCCAAGTTAACCCAAGATCACTGTCAGACAGGAACAATGCCTGTTTTCTGCATTCTAGAACCTTACTTTAACTGATAGATGACACCTGTCTCTCGTGTCCTGACGTGGTCTACTACATACTATATAATAGACAATGTATTTGCCATGTGATGTATTCGGTAACTCAGCTCTCATTTTTTCCATTTCCTTGCTGTCTTCCCTCAAATTCTATCGAAGAATAATCCAGTTCTGGTAGATTCTGAATTAAACTGTCTTAATTATTGTAATCCCTGATCTAAATGGGAGAATATTATCACCAATCACTTTAGACCATAAATGAGATGAGTATAGAACTGCAAATCAGTGCTCTTGTTGGGTGCAGAAATTTGAAGGCAGCACAGGAATTCATACAGTACTAGGACTGGAGGGGACCTCGAGAGGTCATTGAGTCCAGTCCCCTGCCGACTTATGTCTCTGAAGCATTCACCATGATCTCTCATAAGATATTGAGAATACCAGGCCCATTATAAATATGTGCTCAATATTTGTACACTGCCTTGTACCCTTTTCATTTACCTTTGATTTAACCACATTTCTTATATTTGCATCATATGCAATTGCCCACCTGCAACAAATTTTCCTTCATGCATTGTTTGTAATTTATGTTCAGTGATGTTTTCTCAAAGTGCACACCCGTATGTATGTGTATGTCTTGGTGTTCTGAACTATGACAAGTGGGCATCCAAGGATCTCAAGGTCCCTTCCGGTTCTAGTGTTTTGTGATTCTGTGACCAGTAAGCCTGGATTAATACTGTGTTTGGGCTTCTCTAAAAGGTGTTACAAACCACAATGATGGCATTAATGCTAGAGGGCCTAAGTCCAGCTATCTAAACTGCTGGTGCAGCATAATGAAAACTTCGCTAAAACCTTTGACTCATATGGTTTTTATTCTACCAGTTTATGAAAGGGAAAGCTACATTTTCTAGTATTACATCACAATTATAATATTTGTAATAATACAGATGCAATATAAAAACCCTTATGGCATAAGTAAATTATATGGGTAATGAATGGGTGTAACTGGGTCATTTCTTTCCTGGTTACAGGAGCTAGACTGGAAAACCATCTTTTCTATGTAACATCTGGTTTTCATTAGTGACAGGAAAACTGAGTAATTCCAATAAAATGGAGAGAAAGCACTGTGATTTTTTTAACAAATACAAATAGATGTTTTAGATGTTCATTTCAGCATTTGTCCATTGAACTGGGGGTTTTGTGGGAGGTTCTTACGGAAGAAAAATGTGGCAACTAAATGATTTTGGGCATATCATAAACTTACCTGAAAGGGCAAAAGAATATTTGTCTTGTGCTATAATGTGAATCCTGGAATGCAAAACTGTCTTTAAATACCCTTATTTCCTCAGAAGTGAACAGGCAGCTTGGATTTAGAATATTTAAGAGTTTTGGTGAACCCCAAAGCACCTGACCTCATTTATAACTTAAACATGACAGCAGTCTTATGTGGGCTAGTACAATTTAGCAAGTTTGTGTGATCCTTCTGCTCATACTGGTATTTAGAGCTTGCAATATATTTATAGTTAGGGATCAAGTACCTTCTCGTGTTTTTAAAATTGGCAACAAGCATGGAAAAACTAGGAATTCTCATTAAAAATATTGATTTGCTATTCCTGTTAGATATCCTCCACCTCTATTCTGTTTGAAATATACATTAATTGACATGATTGAATGAATTGTCTCAGGTTATTAGCCAGAACGCCAAACATTATTCATTATGAATGGCTATCTTAATGTCTGTTCCCAGATAGTAATATTATTTAATGTTTATTACTAGCTGACAGGTTATTTATAGTTTATTATTAACTGTTCGGTTAGCCACCTTCATACGGTGATGATCACACTAGTACTATTTAGATCAAAAATTCCCAAATGATAGTTCACAGTACTTTTGCTGGTGGTTCTTAGAGGTATCAGGTCACATTGAACTTGTCTCCTCCATTAGTTGTTAGATTTCATTAAAAGACAACTAAAAATATACACAATATTTTTACTTCCCTATGTAAACAATTACTGCTTTCTAACAGGGATGTTATACAGTTGTGAATGAGGGGGGAAATCCTCCATGAAAGATTCTGTGAGTGAAAAGATGGCTAGCTCTATGAAAGAGTTTAAAGCCAATTTTATGTAGTTAGATTTTTATATTATAATTGCTAGCATTTTATCACGTAATTGTTGCAGTGTAACCAGGGTTTTGACTTTTGTGGTATTTAGAAATTAGTACAGGCAGTCCCCGACTTACGCGGATCCGACTTAGGTCGGATCCGTACTTACGAACGGGGCTTTTCTCGCCCCGGAGCTCACAGGCGGTGGGTCACCACCCGTGTCCTCCGGGGCGAGAAAAGCTTCTCCCGGTCTCCCTGGTCTTCTGGGGGGGTCCAGCAAAGCCGCTGGACCCCCCCAGCAGACCAGGGACACCTGAGCAAAGCCGCCGCCTGGGCGGCTTTGCTCGTTTGCCCGGCCGGCCCCCCCGCCTCTCCGGCTTTGCTCCTGTCTCCCTCCTGTCTCCCAGCAGGGAGACAGGAGCAAAACCGTGGAGGCGGGGATCCCGCCGCCTGTGCGGCTTTGCTCCGGGGTAAAGGAGCAAAGCCACACGGGCAGCGGGGTCCCTCCGCCTGCGCGGCTTTGCTCGGGTCTCCCTGGTGTGCTGGGGGGGGAGGGGGTGCAGGTAGTGCGCCCCCCCTCCCAGCAGACCAGGCTTTTGTTGCGGGACGCCTCGGGTAGAGCAGCTGGGGTGCTGCTGGGTTGGTCCTGTGGGAACCTACCAGGCAGCGCCCCAGCTGTTCTGTCCCAGGCTCCAGATTCAGCAGCTGTTGAAACTGATCAGGCTGATTCCAGGAAGCTGGGGGCAGAGCAACTCTGCCTCCGGCTTCCTGTAGTCAGCCCCTGGTCAGTTTCAGTGGCAGCAGCTGAATCTGGAGCCAGTTCCGACTTGCATACAAATTCAACTTAAGAACAAACCTATAGTCCCTATCTTGTACGTAACCCGGGGACTGCCTGTATTATAATGTTGCAAGAACAGTTTTAAAAATTAATCTTCTGGATTTAAATGGGAAACAAAAAGTGTGATATTTTTCATTATAGAGATTGATTACTTCTCCATTATTCATCTGATTTTGACCCTCTTCTTCC